GGGAGACTGAACTCCCTCTCTGCCCTCGCCGCGCTCAAGTGCCCGCTCCACCGCCTGCGCTTTGCAACGCGCCACCGCGGCCCTCTGCCGCTCTTTCCTTCCACCTGGGACAGCGCCACCTCCCCTCCCCTGAACGGCACCCTCACTCACCCTTGGACCTTGGGGTGCCGTTCGGTAATACCGTCTGCTCCCTGCATGGCACCGCGCATCCTGCAGACCAACGTGCCACTGGCATCGCTGCCTTTCTCCACCAGTGGCCGCCGCCCTCTTGCCGCTAGGCCCCCCTCTCCTCGCCTCGGCTTCGCTTCCTGAATTCCAGCGGGCGCTGCCCAGGCCGCGCCTTGGCCCCTAATCGCGGCGCTCTGCCGCCCTCCACCCGATGCGCGCACCTCCTGCCTTTGGATCCAGGTGCGCGCTTCGGCAATACCGTCCACCGCCTCTCCGCAGTGGACTCGCGGCCTTTGGCCCTACTGTAGATGTCTCACCGCCATGCCTTCCTGGCCCGTCAGTGGGCCACGGCTCGCCTGTCCACTGGCTTTCTCCTTTGACTTTCTAACCGAACGAACGGCCTTCCGGCGTCACCCTGGACCTTTTAAACAAGCAGCACGGCCTTCCGCCGTCACCCTGGATCCAAGTGGCTCTGAGGGGCGCGCCTTGGGTACAAGGCGTTCTCGTCCCTCTGGTGCTAGACGATTCGGTTGGGTAGTGCTGAGACACCTTAGATGTGCATACTCCTCGGGGTCTGCCGTGTATCGTGCACTTCGGCGCCCTTCCACTCGTCGGATCTGGGCTGTCGCATCTCAGTTGTGGAAGGTACTCTTGTCAACATGCTCCACACCCTGGATGCGCTTTCTTGCGTCGCGTCCTGGTTCGCCGTCAGTTTTTTCCGCTGGACCTTTGTCCCCAGTCAGTCTGTGGTACCCGTCACGCTCCCTGGATCGGTGTCCTCGGGAACTCTCAATGCTGGGCGGTTTTCCGCCGTGACCCTGGATCAGTGGCTTTGACGGACTTGCCTGGGTATACGCGGTCTCGTCCCGCGTGTGCTCTCCGACTCGTTCTGGACAGCACTGATGCACTGTGATGTGCACACGCCGCGCTTTGAGCGTGTAGCGTGCATCAGGCGCCCTCCCACCCGCTGGGTCTGGGCTGAAGCATCTCGGCGTGGAAGCTTCTTGGCAACATTTTCACACTTTGATGCCGTTTGGCGCCGCGGCGCGTTGCCGCCGTCGGGATCCCCGCTGGACTTACGTCTCTTTTCGTCTGTGCTACCCGCCAGGCTTGGGTCGACGTCCTCGGGAACGTTCCTCTCGTTCGCACCTGGGCGTTGGGAACGCCTATCGCGCCATTTTGGCTGCGCTTGGTCTCCTCGGTGCCTACCCCAGGCCCGTTGGACGCACCGCTGCATGCCCGTTCAGGGGCTGTATCTGGCTCCTGGATTGCATCGGCCCCGCCGCCCTGGACGCTGTCGTGAGCCGCTTGATCCGCGGCCCCGCGCGCGTTAGGTAATTTAGTCGCGTCCGCGGCCCGTTCGCGACCTCCCGCCGCTGGCGCTTCCGCTTGCGGCTGTAAAACAAATCTCCACCAGCCCGTCCAGAAACGACGCCCAGGCGAGTAGAGGGTCGTCCTGAGGGGCTTTTCGGCGTCTTGGGTGCCTCGGGGGGCCTCTGTGGGCCGTTCGGGATCCTCTTTGGGGCCTCCTGGGAGCCTCTTGGGGCCTCTTGGGGCCATCTTGGGGCCTCGTGGAGCACCTTGGGTGCATCTGGGGGGTCTCTTGTCGCCTCTTCGGGGTCTCTTGGGGGCCTCCTGGGGGCCTTTTGGGGGGCCTCTTGGGGCCATCTTGGGGCCATCCTGCGGCCTCATGGGGCATCCTGGGGACCTCTTGCGGCCATCGTGGAGGAAATCGATCAAAGAATAGGGGGGCTTTAATTAGCACTGCCCCCTCAGAAGGCAAAACCATAGTACAATCAATGATTTTGGCTTCCTCGCCGAGGCCGTTTTGGACGCTCTGACCGCTCACCGCCCCTCCTGTCCAGGTCAGTGGGGAGGGGGTAGGGGGAGGGGTAAACCCCTCCCCGAAGGGGAAGAGGGAGGGGTGGAAGAGGAAACGCCTTAAACCACCGACGCCCAGAGGGCTGGTGGGATTGAGGCGTCGAGTAAGGGAGCGCTCAGGAAAAATCGGATGTTTCTCGGAACAATCATGTGATCAGGCTGATAAAGGGAAGGGGAGAAGGAATGTCATAGTAGGCGTACACGGATGATGATGATTGAGAGGATGATGATGATGATGAGGAGGAGGAGGAGGATAAGGAAGAGGATGAGAAGGCGGACGAGGAGAAGGAGGAGGAGGAGGAGGAACATGAGGAGAATGCGGAGGATAATTGGCGGCCTTGCCGCAATCTCCTGCAACAGCAGCCCCATCCGACGCTTTTTGTAGCTTGCTTCGGACAGTATAGATGGCAATTGAGGCGTCGAGTAAGGGAGTGGTCAGGAAGAATCACAGGTTTCTCTGGACAATCATGTGATCTGGCGGATAAAGAGAAGGTGGGCAGGAGTATCATAGTAGGCAGACACGGATGATGATTATGATGATGGTGATGATGATGATGTTGATGATGACGATGATGATGGAGAGGATGATGATGATGAGGGGGAGGAGGAAAAGGACGAGGATGAGAAGGCGGACGAGGAGGAGGAGGAGGAGGAGGAGGAGGAGGAGGAGGAGGAGGAGGAGGAGGAGGAGGAGGAGGAGGAGGAGGAGGAGGAGGAGGAGGAGGAGGAGGAGGAGGAGGAGGAGGAGGAGGAGGAGAGGGGGAGGAGGAGGAGGAGGAGGAGGAGGAGGCGGAGGCGGAGGAGGAGGAAGAGAAGGGTGGGCAAGACACATGACGAATCTTAGAGCCTCCTAGGATCTCTTTTCGGAGTAGTCTTGGAAGTCTCTTGAGACGTCTGGGGAGCTTTCCAATGGCCTCAGGGAGACTCCTGAAGGGTTCTTGGGAGTCTCTTGGGAAGCTGTTTTGGGAGGTTTGGGCTCCTCTTGGGCCCGTCTGGGCGCCCTTGAAGGCCCTGCTGGGGCGCTCTTGGGGCAATTTTGGAGGACATCGGCCAAGGAAGTGGGGCTCCCTAATTACAGCCCCCCCCCCCAGGAGCTCCAAACATCGTTTCCTGGACCCCTCTTGGATCGCTTTTGGAGCGCTCGTGGCCGCTCTCGGAGCCATCCTGAGGCTCTCTTGGGCCCCTCTTGGGGCCATCTTGAGCCATCTTGACGCGCCGGATGTGCATCGCAAACGAAAAAGTGAGAACACCAAAAACATTGTTTTTTCCCAAGGGTTTTGAAGCATTTTGGCCTCTTGGATGCATCCTAATGATGCTCTTGTGGGCACTTGGAACCGTCTTGTGGAGTTCTTGGAGCGTCTTGGAACATCATGGGGACCATTTTGAGGCATCTTGCGTTATCTTGAGCCATCTTGGACGTCATCTTGAGCTCCCTGAGGCCCTCTTGGAGCCGTGTTGGGCCGTCTTGGACGCTCTAACTACCCGCGGCCCCCCCCTGTCCAGGTCAGTGGGGAGGGGGTAGGGGGAGGGGTAAACCCCTCCCCGAAGGGGAAGAAGGAGGGATGGAAGAGGAAACGCTCTAAACCACCGACGCCCAGAGGGCTGGTGGGATTTCACCATGTGTTTCATCTATCGGAACGTGAAAAACCAGCGTCTGCCTCGGGACACCCTCAACGTTTAATCCGCCGGCCCTCGTCGACCCAGTTAACGATCGCACATGAATCCGCCGGCCATCTTCGAACTTGGCACTGGGGACAGGCTTGCCGCCCTAAAAGAGAACCCTGGGCCCGAGCCCTTTCCAGCAACAAAGGGTGTGCTTACCCCTGGGTGTGGTTTGCAATCTGCGTCGTTGGGGCTCGGGGGGCAACGCTCGCCGGGCCTCCTCGGGGCGCCGCGGAGAGCTCTGTCGAGGTCCTCGCCCGCCTCCCAGGGTGCGGGTTGCAAACCACACCCTTTGCAAGCACTCGGAGTCGCCGAACAGTTTTCAGGGATGTTCGCCATGGGAGCCGACTGGGGTTCCGAGATAGCCCAGCGCTGGTTTCTAGGCCTCTTAGATGGGGTCGGAGTAGATGGGGTCGGAGGATCGTGGCGCATCGCCGATGCATCGGCGATGCGGCTCGATGCGGAGTCCGATTTGCTTCGCGTCGACGTCGCCGATGCATCGCCGACGTCGACGATGCATCAGTGGTGCATCGCCGATGCATCGTCGATGTATCGGCGATGCGGCGCGATCCTCCGACCCCATCTACTCCGACCCCATTTAGGAGGCCTCCATGGTTCTGGCGAGCCACGAGGGCAAGGCCAGGTCCGAGGTGCTGGTTTCGAGCACGTTTTTGTTTGCCCTTCTCGGCCTCCGCGGGGCCGCTCTCGGTCCCTAGGATCGTCAGAACCGGTGCAGGGTGAGAAACTCCACCCGATGGAGCCTGGGAGTGGGCGGGGGACCGACTGTGAACGGATGTGCCCTTGAAGTGGTTTATGGCTCCGGGCATTCAAAATCATGCCCAGGAATGGAGTTTTGGGAATTCGAAGACCACGAAGTGGGTTACTGTTGGTTAAACAAGGAGTCCCCACGTCTTGTCCGATTTCTTGGGGCCCATCCAGCTCGGACCGTTCGGCCACCCCTAGATTCGCCGTTCGGTCGGTTCGGCTGCGTCGCAGTCGGTGGCGTTCGGTCGGAGTTGGGTGCGGCCAGCTGTCGTGCCTCAGGCGGATTCTTTTGCTGGCTTTGGATGCACTGTCGTGTGTCCATGGGTGCCCCTCGCCCGTGCGGCAACTTGCGATCCGCCCACCTCGCTTTGAAAAGTCGACGCCTGTGGTGAGCTGTCTTGCCGTCTCGCTGGGTAACACAAGCGCGCCCACCCCGACACGCGCCGCCCGCAAATCCGAGCCACCTCACTCTTATCCGCCACTGCCAGGGATTAATTGCACACGTTAATGATTTCGGCTCCGATGGTCGAGATGACATGACCGCGTCGCGCGGAGCTCATCACCGCAGCAATCGTCTCCTACTCGTCGCCGCATGTGTGATTGGTCGCTCACTGAACCATAGACGCGGCTGCGCTGTGCTTCCAGGGCCGTCGCCCTGGAGCTCCTGGGAAACCCGCGACGGACTCCGCGTCGACTCGCGCCGCCCCGAGTGGCACGGCCGCCTCGCTCGGCGGGCGGCGCTCGCGGGGGGCTCCGGCGACGAGCACGAGCGCGCCGAGTTCCTGGTCGCCCACGAGGCGAGGCACGGGCGCTGGGCGTACGAGGGCCTGGCGCAGGCCATGTGCAACCGGGGGCACGCGGTCCACTTCCTCTCCCTGCCGCGCCTGGGCGACGACGCCCGGGCGGACGAGGCCGCGCTGGCCGGCGCCCTCGAGGCGGTGCGCGGGCTCCACGGGGCGGGGCAGCACCTGGTCGTGCTCGGCCACGGCCTCTCGGCCACGAGCCTCTGCAGGTGCCTCGCCGCCGCGGCGGACCCCGCCGCGCTCTGCGCCGCCGCCGTGCTCGCGGCGCCGTGGCCGCTGCGGGCCGGCGTGGAGCGCCAGGCCCTCGCGGCCGCGGCCGCGGCCGCGTCCGACGAGGGCCTGTGCCGGCGGCTGATGTTCTCGCCCGGGGCGGCAGGCGAGGACGTCGGCGACACGGAACAGAGTGGCCCTTCGCCGGGGTGGCCTTTGGTGCGCGGCTTCCGAGAGGCGCGGGAGGCGCCCAAGGCGCAGGCCGCTGGTGTCGCACCGCATGTGCCCATCAGGCATGTCCCAGGAGGCGCGTGTCATTTTTTGGGGGGCTCCAGCGAGATCTCGTGTGAGGGAGTTAAGAATCTGGACTGGGCCCTGGGCGTTTTCTGGGAGCTTGTTCCATCGTAGAATTGTCGTACCTCTGGACCTGA